AGAGCCCACCTAGAAAGTCCATCTGCATTTTTATGGACAATACCCTCTCTATGAACAATTGTCATAGATCCTCTCCATTCTTGGATTGCAATTTGCCACCTAAGCATGTGTCTGTTGGGTGTTTTCATATTCAACAAAGATCTTAAAGCATTGCAATCTGTGATAAGATCAAACTCACATCCATCAAGATAATAATAAAGCTTATCCAATGCCCAAACTAAACAAAGGCATTCTAGCTGAGAAGCTCCATATTTCTTCTCAGACTCTTTGAGTTGTTGTGAAATAAAACAGATGGGACCTTCTATAGGCTTATCATCAATTATTTGAACTTGATGTAAAGCAGCTCCTATACCCTCCATGCAAGCGTCAACATAAAGTTTAAATTGTTCTTTTGGGTCAGGATGAAACAACAGATGTGAATTAGTTAAGGCAAACTTAATGGATTCATAAGCTTGTACTCTTTCCGCCATCATTTCAAAGACTACATTAGGACTACATAATTTGTAAAGACTTGAAGCCATAGCTCCAAAGTCTTTGATGTGTAGTCTGTATTATCCTGAAAAACCAAGTAACATTTGCATTTCTTTTGTATTTTGGGGTGTAGGCTTCAGCAATACTGCATCAACTCTATGTTTATCTATTCCCAAGGATGGACCATTAAAAATATGACCTAAAGCTGCGGGTTCCTGAAACGCAAACTGGCACTTTGAAAAAGATATTTTCATATTCATCTTGATAATTTTCTGAAGAATAATTGCCAAGCGTGACAAATGATCTTCCCAGTTATCCAAAAAAATTATAATGTCATCTATGTATATAATAAGCCAGAGCTGATTCAATTCATGTGAAAATTCAGTGTCCATCATACGTTGAAAATGTGAAGGGGCATTTTTGATACCAAAAGGCATACAGAGGTACTCAAAAATGCCTAAATGACAAACAGTTCTGAGGAATTTTCTACTGTCTTTGTGAATCACGTTTTGATGAAAGCCCTTAAGGACATCTATGCATGTAATAGGGGGGTTCACAATTGAACTTGAAGGCCATTTTTAAGGTGTTTCTGATCATAAATTTATAAATTTTTTGTGATGTACGGAAGGTTTATCGGAAAAACCCAAAAAAATTATAAAATGTTGCTCATAAACACCTTAAAAATCACTCTAAAGTTCAATCGTGAACCCCCCTAATGTATTTAGCTTTATGTAATTTAGTCAAAGATTCCATAATTTTGGGCATAGGATACCTATCTGGGTTGGTGTAACTGTTAAGAGCCCTAAAGTCGCCTACCAATCTGGACTTATTATTATGCCAAGCTATAATAACCAGGGTAGTGATTTCTACATTTTCATTTGCACCAACCTTTCTAATAACTTTAAGTTTCAACAAGGCTTGAATATGCTCTTCTAAAGCTTCTCTGCTTCTAGGGCTAGCAGGGTAATGGGCTTTTCTCAAAGCCGGAGGGTAAGGTTTGTCAATATTCAAAGTCAATTGGACTTCATGTCCCTTAATGGCTCCAAATGGTTCTTCTACAGTAGCAAATGCCTTCTTGTTAACAAAGAGTAGTTGAAGAAGTTGATCCTTTTGTGTTGAGGACAAAGAAGAACTAATTTTAGAGCTTTCCTGCACTTCTTTGTCAAAACAAGCTTGTTCAGGTAAGGTAATAGCTACTGTGGGAGACATCTCTTGAGCAAAGTGATACTTCTTATTACTGTCCCCTATTTTAAAGTAACTAACTGCGTCATTCATGATGGAAATTTTGAAGTGACTTGAGTAATCATTGCCAATAATAAAATAATTAACAACCGCATTCTCAATTACTATAAAATCAATCAAAAAACAGTGACTCTCAAAAATCAGGTTCACTCTCACAATACCTAAAGTGGAAAACTTGTCTGAACAGCTGTGGAATTTATCTTTGGAATGGCCTCTCAAAAATTTTTTCCACTGAGGGCAATATTTAGACAAATATTGTTGGCCCATTACTGATTTGAAAGCACCAGAATCTAAAAGTACCTTACAAGGTTTACCTGCACAACTCATAGTTACTATTTTATTGCTACCTGAGACAGATGTAATATAATAGTCCAATGCAGTAGATGTTACACAAATAATTCCAGGGGAATTATCTTGAATGCCTAAATCACTTTCAGAATCCATGCCAGCATCATCTTTACTATCTTCTTCAGTTACTACAGTAACTTTCTTAGAATTTTTGGGGCAGTTCCTAGAGGTATGACCCATTTTATCGCAAGAGTAGCACTTAACATCTGGATTGGACTTAGCCATTGAGCTTGTAGGTTTGTCTGCAACACTATTCGGCGCATAATTCTTGTTAGTTTGTCCATAAGGAGTCCGTCTTTTACCTAACGTAGTGTAGTCAGTAATGTCTTCCAAGACGTTGTAAGACTCAAAAGTGGTTGTGAAACCCTTTTGCTGAATGGAGAAGGGTATGTTGGAGTTGCAAGCTCTGCCCTTCTATACTATCAGAATAACAAGACCACCAAGCTTAGCTTGGCAATTTTATATATAGTGATAGGGATAAGTTCGAGATGAAGCTGCTGATTGATATGTGTGAGGATATAAAGATGTTATTGACTGTTGGCTATATCGATGAAGTTGTTGTCAATGAATATGGTTCAGGGCACTTTTTTGTTTATGATGATGAAAGTGTTAAATATGTATTTCAATGTGTACAAATCTGTAATTGTAATGTGGCTATGACTTGTAGTTATGAAATAATATATAAGGTGGATTTATTTATAAGGGTGGTTGAGATGATCTGGTCCACTGGTGGGATGATGGTCCCCTGGTGGGATGATGGAGGGAACAACTGGCAGGCAGAGGCCTCCTTATATAGAAAAATGTGAGGGATTTTGGCCCCAGGGTACAGGCTGAATGATACTACTACAAAGGGATGCATATGAATGAATAAAGGGACGCATATGTATGATCAAAGGGATGCATACATGCATTATCACTAATACAAAGGGATTCAAAACAACGTAAAGGTATTCAATTTACTACAAAGGTATTCATTATGCAATATGCATCCTGTATTCATAATGACTATGGCTAGAGTGAAGAATCCAAGAAATATCCCGTGACAGGTTGAAATCTGTGTAACTTCTAAACTATAAGAGACAAGGGTATGGTTGTAGTGGGTGACTAGGGGTTATTTTACCTGAGGATTCCATTTTTGATGCCATTTTTACCATATCTTGAATGAATAAAGAGATAATAAGAAATTTTTATATTTTCTGCGTAGAAACACAGTATTATTTACCACAACGTTGATCAGAGATGTAAGTGTCTGATCTCCTTTCATAGCATTTTGGGCAGAAAAACTAACCTCTCCATCCATTTGTGTCAATAACTTAAACATTAAACTCTCATGATTGGTTTGGGGTTCACAAGCCATAATTCTCTTGTATTGCCTTGTAACCCAATTTCCTGCTGGGGTACTTCCTGGGATAAACTTATCCTTCAAGTAAATGTTCAACAATTTTCTTCTCCAAGATGAGGTACCAAACTTCTTATGGATCGCTTCTTTCCCAAAAGACCAGGACTGATCACCAACCATATCTCTTACACTAGAAAACCAGGGATGGGCTGAACCTGTAAACATATATTGCAGCCTGGAGGTGATAAAAACATCTTCAATCCTGGAATCTTCTTGAATTGTGTCAATGGTTTTAATGAAGTCTACATGGTTCTATTCTCCGTCACCTGAAAATGTGGGCCAGGCTTCCATTTTGCTTAGACCCTTGTAAAATAACTTTACTTGATTCCGGAGAAATTTGAGTTGGGCCCCAGAGATCTGTCTAGGCTGAACTTCTGGAATATCAAAAAATTCACTAAGTCTGCCTGGATCAGGAACAGTACCTTTAGTGTGAATTTTGAAAAATTCTTGGTTATTATTCAAAGAAACATTCTGGTGTGGATTTACTTCTGGATAAGCAGAGGGAACTGTACCTTTATGTGTGGAAAAATGTGTTTCATTTCTAAAAGGAAGTGAAGAAGAAGTTGTCACTTTGGGGGCTGACTTCAACTCACTAAATTTTTCCAAGAGAGCATTAAATCTCTTCTCATTGTTGCTCTCCATCACTAGTAACTTGGCATTAACATCTAAAACAGGTTGATTTCCTAATTCAATAAGGTGATCTAATTTTTCATTAACTTCTCCAAGCAATTCATGCTCAAATTTCAGTTCTGAAATTTTTCATGACAGGAAAAAACATTGCCACTTGAAGCTGAAGTACTGTTCTTAACAGCAGAAGTGGATTGTTCAACATTATGACAAGTCTCCACTTGTTTCCCTTTGTCTAGCTTATTGGTTGAGGAGGAGGTAGGAAATAAGTCCTGAGATGAATCATTTGCACGACTGAGGTGATGAAAATTTCTAGGCTCACTGGAACTTAATTTCTGTGACAAATTATTGAGAAATAGATTGAGCTTGTTCTTATTTTCTTCCAATTTGTCATATACTAAGGCAAACAAATTTTCAAAAGCTTTTTTAGACAAGTCTTCTCTATTATCAATTAAAATCATAGAATTTTTAATATTTTGCAAGTCTTTTAGTAACAGAGGAGAAACAGGAAGAGAAGAAATGGATGAAACATTGTCCTTTACCAAAGCAAGGTCTTTACAGGTTTCTTGAGAAATATTTTCTATAAGAGTAAGAGAATTTCTGATTCTAGTAAAAGAAGCTATCACATTTTCAGATGAAAAAGTCAGAGAACGAAACTGAGGTTCTATGGCGTCAAATTTTTGACGCCATAGAAGATTTGGTCCTAATCTGTTTGGACAAAGCAGCAAAATTATAATCTACAATCTTCTCAATGGAGTGAAAGAGATTTTGCAAAATAGGGAGTAAATCATCAGAAGTCAAAGATTTACCATTCCTGCCTCTGGGTGTAGATGAGGACTGTCTTACCTGGAGTTCTGGTCTCGCATTGATTCCAAGGCTTGGAATTGAGCCTGGGTGGTCCTGTTGAGACGAATCATCTCTTGATGGATTGAGAGTTGATGGGATCATCTTCTCGCTTCTCTGCTGCTCCCTGCGTTCGAGTTCTGAGGAGCTTTGCTGGGACCAGGTCTGGGAAGCCAATTGAGACCCCTGTGTCTTTGGTTGCGTCGGCGATTGGGATTCCGATTGCTACTTCTGTTTTGATTGGACTGGAAAGTGGTTGGTCTGCCTGTTGCCGACGCTGGGTGAGCTGGGCCACTCGTCGGATATTGGTAGTTTACCGGAGGAGGGTACTGGTAACCCTGAGCTGTCACTGGATAGCTCGGTTGATTCCAGTACGGCTGTTGAGCTTGCGGATTTGCCGGGGGGTAGTAGTACCCTCCCTGAGGATGATTCATCGCGGCCGGAGGTTGATCGGATGAGTTGATCGTCTGTTGTTCTTGAGTATCCTCTGGTGGTCTCATTAAGGTCTCTGGGGCTTGGGAGGGAGTCGTTGGGATCCCTTCTTTCTTCCAGTAGTCCTTGCACAATTGTCCTGTCAGGTAGTCCTGGTACTCCGCCGCCGGATTCCAGTTCTCGAACAGAGTAAGGAATTCCTTCTGGCTCATAGCCCTGAGGAGATTGGTTTGAGCCGTTCAGGCAGCTCTCAGAGCTACGATCTTCTGATCTTCTTCCTTCGCCTCCAGCGCTCTGCGGTAGTATTCCTGCTGGAGCTTCACTGCTTGAAGAAGCGGATGAAACGACGGGCGATACATTTGCAGAATGTCGTCCCCAAGGGGCGCCTTTGAAGTCTTGGGCTTTGACCAGAGCTGGGCGGTGGCTCCTGGTTTTAGACATAATAAAAATAGATAAAAAACTTGAGCGATCAATTCAGTATCAGACCAATATAGACGTATTACTAACCAGTAATTATGTACAAGTCGCTACTGTCAGCCGGCTTGTATGGTTCAGTCGTGAACGAACCGCTAGGAAGAATGGATGAAGCCGACAAGATAGATCGAGTGGTCCGCCCTTGCGGAACGAAATAATTCTCGATTTTCTTCTGGATCGTAGCGTTGCCTGAGATTTTAGGAAACGAGGAGTTTTGTCCAACCGATTCTTTGACTTCAAACCGAGGAAAGAGCTGGCTGGATCTTCGGTTTGGAACCGGATTCAAGCCTGAGCTGACTCAACTCATCCCAGCAGGGACAACCAAAATATAAAATCCAACTGTAATAATGTAAGCTGTAATCCCAAAAGGGCTGTTGGACATGTATTACAGTTTTTTGACACCATCAGGCCTCCTAAGACTTTTTTTTAGTCAATCCATCTCAATCCAGCTCTTCAGCACATCCTGGTGGCCAGAACCAACTCAACACAGCTCCAGCTGCTTTTTCCCCAAAAGAAACAGTTCACCCTATGAAAATGATAAAAAAACATGGTTTTTCCGTGTTTTGACACAGTTTTTGCTGCACGTAGCAGACATGGTTTCCGCGTTTGGACACGTTTTTTGTATTTAATTTTTTAGCACTTATTTTTTGAGTTTTTTTTTTTGAAATTTGAAAAGTTTTTTTTTAATTTTTAAATTTTTTTCCTACACTTTGAAAGGTTTAGAATTTAATGGTAAAGTTCACTTACCAAAAAAATGAATTTTAATTTTTTGTTTCACTCATTTTTCAATTATTTGTTTGCATACATGTTTGTACCTTATTTTTTTACGTTTTCTTGAAAGTTTAAGTTTGTTTCCTAGGTTTTAATACGTGTAGAATTTAATGGTAAAATCAAAATTTCTTAAAACTCAACAGTTAATCTTGAATCCTGAAATTAGACACTTTTTTTCACTTAATTTTTTACAGCTTAATTTTTATTATTTTTTGATGTTTTAATTTTTTTCCCTACACTTTCAGACATGTATAAAGTTATGGTAAAAATTATTTTGCATCAAAATGCAGACTATATCTTGAAAACTGCATTTGAAACCATTTATTTTATTTAATTCTTCACTTTTTAACTTAATTGTTTGCATACATGTGTGTACCTTATTGTTTATGTTTTTTTGAAATTTTGTATAGGTTTCCTAGGTTTTGATACGTGTAGAATTTAATGGTATAATCCAATTTCCATAAAAATCAACGGTTCATTTTTAATACTGAAACTAGACACTTTTTTCAATTAATTCCTGACATGTTATTTCTCAATATTTTTTGACATTTTAAATTTATTTCCCACAATTGAAGACATGGTTAGAATGATGGTAAGAATCATTTTGAATAAAAACCAAAGATTGTTATTGAATACTGCGTTGGACATGTTTTTTTGAATGTTTTTGTAATTGCTTTTTACCGGCTGGATTTTAATCATTTTTTGAAATTTTAAATTTATTTCCTACATTTGAAAATGTGTAGAATTGAATGGTGAAGTCCAATTTCCCTAAAAATACAAGCTTCTATCTTAATACATGATAGAAATTGAATGTTACCATTAAATTCTAAACACTTTGAAATGTAGGAAACAAATTTAAAATTTCAAAAAAGCATAAAAAATAAGGTAGAAAAACTAATGCAAACAATTGAGTGAAAAAGTGAAGAATTAAATAAAAAAACGGTGTCAAATGCAGTATACAAGATGTAGTCCTCATTTTGGTTCAAAATGATTTTAACCATAAATTTATACATGTTTTGAAGTGTGGGAAAAAAAATTAGAATGTCAAAAAAGAATGAAAATTAAGCTCTAAAAATTTAAGTGAAAAAATGGGTGTAATTGCATCATTAAAAATGAACCATTCATTTTTATGAAAATTGGATTGCGCCATTAAGTTCTAAGCACATTGAAACCTAGGAAATAAATTTAAAATTTCAAAAAAACATAAAAAATAAGGTACATACATGTATGCAAACAATTAATTGAGAAATGAGTGAAAAAAATAATTAATAATCAAAATTCATTTTTATGGAAAATGGTTTTTACCATTAAATTCTACACCTTTTAAAGTGTAGGAAACAAATTTAAAAATTCAAAAAAACTTGAAAAATAAGCAGTAAAAAATTATATACAAAACCGTGTTTGCACACGGAAACCGTGTGCGCTGTGCTGCAGCAAAACCGTGTGTAAACACGGAAAACCGTGTTTTTCAAACGTCCAAATTACATGGAATCAGTGTGTGCTGCACGCAGCAAAAACCACAGAAAAACAGGAAAAACACAGAAAAAAAAAGTTTTTTTATTAAGGCCCCTCAGTTAAAAAGACAGTTTACCCCTAAGAAAGTCAGTTCAATACAGCTCCTGGTTGAAAGCTGGCTGCCACATGCAACTTGCCACCACTCCTACTGGACAAATTCAGCTCCAAACAGCTCCTGCTTTCTGTAAACCACAAAAGTGTTCAGAATAGCTCGGTTCCCCAAACATCCATGCTTCTGCAAACAAATCCCCTGGTGGTTTTCACCAAAAAGTTATTTGGGGATTCATATCCTATACATCCTGGCTCCAAATTCAGCTCATAAAAGTTCCAGACAGCTGGAGGCAGCTGGAGGTTCAAGGCAGCCTCGGGCAGCTTGAGGAAGGTTCAGGCATCTCAAGGCAGCTCAAGGCAGCTCCCCAAACCACTGAAAAAAATATTCAGCACAATTCAACCCCACCACATGATGGCTGCCACATTCAGCTCTAAACAGCTCCAGGCAGCTTCAGACCACAGCAGCTCCAGGCAGCTTGAGACAGCTCCAGACAGTTTCAGACAGCTCCAGGCAGCTTTAGGCAGCCCCAGGCAGCTTCAGGCAGATCCTAGCTCCCCAAAACACTGCAAAAAAAATTCCCCAAAACACTGACAAAAATAATTTTCAGCACAATTCATCTCATCTCCTGCACATCCTGGCTCCCGTATTCAGCTCCAGGCAGGATCATCTCCCTCATCATCTCATCTCTGTGAATTTTGTTTTTCATACAGAAAGCTATCTCTGTTTGGAAATGAAATACAGAAAAATAATCATACTCTTCAGGCTTCCAACAAGTATATTTATTGAAATCTGACAACTGAAATTGAAGAAAAAAAATTATCAATTCAATTATTTTACAATTCTTCATTAATTTGGTATTCAAAATCCTCTGGTTGTAATATCCCCTCCTGCTGATCCTCCACATTCCCAAAATCAAAAATGACAGAAGATCCTACAACTAGTTTTTCCCATATACTTTGGCAAGCCAAAATTACTCCAGTCCATTTTTCTTTAAGGTTTGCATCATGTTGAACTTCATTGATATATTTTTGACTCCAGTCAAGAAGCAGGAAGCAGTGAGAATTCCAAGTCATCCAAACCCGGCAGTCAATTTTGGCTAGTCTGCAGTACACAGACTCAAGCACTTCCCTGGGAAAGTGGTGTTTGGAGGAAATGTTGTTTAAAATCTGTTGTCCATTGAGGTTGATTATGTTGGTTTCCGGATCTAAGGTCAAACAAACAAATCAGTCAAAATTTCACACATACTGTAACAACTCTGCTCATTTCAAGATGCAGACCTCGGCTCAAAAGTTTGGAAAGATTATCCAAACAGTCTGATTTTTGAATTGCCAAACTGATGGCCTGCCGAGCTTCTCTTGAGATCCTATGCAACTCATCTTTGCAGTGGGTTGATGTAAGGATGGCTTCAATTCCGTCTTTTACGTTGGGATCAAAAGCCCAGGGCTCGTTGGTGTCAGCCTGCTACTAATCAGAGCCAGCCTGAACATAGCATTTACTTATAAATTAGAGATATTATTACTTACATATGTACAGTGCCTAGACAGTGAAAAATGGCGCGGGGTAAAAATGGTGTTTTTGCATATTTTATGCAAGTGCACCCTGCAGCTACAGAGTCAGTGCACCGACTCCCTAGCCAGCCATTCACTACCTCTGGACAAAAAACTAACTCAAAAAAGTAAGTGATTTTTTAGTTTTCTTTCCTATCTCCTCTCCAGCACCAGCGGCCACTTCTTTCATCCAGACCACCATCAATGGGATCATCAGCAGTGGCCTAGGACCGGTTGCAAAAGAATGATTGGGATGGGCTCAAGAACAAGATGGATGAGCAGCACCAGTATCTTGAAATTGGCTGTCCTTTTTGTCGGGATTTCTCCATTGGTCGATGGATTAGGTCTGGGGGAACCTCCGTGAGTTGATTGAACGCGTGACGAGTGACATCAAAAAAGGAGAGAAGAAAAAACAACAGTATTGACCCCCTATGGCAACATGATTATTGTAGGGACGGAAAGGCTTGCTTGGCCGCTTGGACGGATGGCTCGGCTCCTTACAATTCGAATCAGGCCATACAACTACATGAGCGGAGCGGGGGGGCCGATGAATGCAACCCAGGTGGTAGAGACGGGGACACCGGCAGCGATCTATCTGACGGCCGATCCGCAATCGCTGGACCAAGTGAGCAACCAAGACCTGAGGCTGCTTGGCCAACAGATCACAGGCTACCAGCTCGTCCCAAAGACCACCAGCACGACTCCATCACCTCCTCCACCATGCGACAGGTCACAGGGCAGTCTGCAGCCGACCGGCGACGGCCCCGTTCCCCATCACCTCCTCCACCATGCGACAGGTCACGGGGAAGTCTGTGGCCGACCGACTTGCTTCAGACCGGCGACGGCCCCGTCGCCGGCGGCTCCTCCTCCTCCTCCAGCCACTCCCAGCCGACTTGCTCCAGACTGACGACGGGCTCCTCCTCCTCCTTCAGCCACTCCCAGCCTGCCCAGCAAAGGCTACATAGTCCCCGGCCAAGACCCCTCAACGGACAACAAGTTCTACGTCTCCTCCTCCGCAGCTCTGTCCCGTCCCTCAGCCCCCGAAACTCCACCCTTACTGATCTAGTCTCCTCACCTCACTCTTAGATTGAACAAAAAAAATGAAAAAGACATAAAAAAAGCATAAAAGACAAAAGAAAAAAGAAGGGCCTTAATAAAAAAACCCGCATTTTCCGCGTTTTGACGCGGTTTCTGCTGTGCGCAGCACATGCGCATTCCGCGTTTAAACCCGCTTTTTTAATTAATTTTTTTTTGCTGTTAATTTTAATTTTTTTTAATTTTTTAAAATTGTTTCCTACACTAAAAAACATGTAGAATTTAATGGTAAAGTCCATTTTGCATAAAAATGACTTTTGATTCTTGATTTTTTTTTCGACTCATTTTTCAATTAATTGTTTGCATGCATGTATGTACTTTATTTTTTATGTTTTTTTGAGATTTTAAAATTATTTCCTAGGTTTTAAAACATGCATAATTTAATGGCGCAATTCAAATTTTCTAAAACTCAACTCTTCACTTTGAATACTGAAATTAGACACTTTTTTCACTTAAATTTTTACAGCTTAATTTTCATTCTTTTTTGACTTTTTAAATTTGTTTCCCACACTTTTAGACATGATTAAAATGATGGTAACAATCATTTTGCATAAAAACCAAAGAATGTTATTGAATACTGCGTTGGACATGTTTTTTTTAATGTTTTGTTAATTGCTTTTTACCAGCTGGGTTTTAATCATTTTTTGAAATTTTAAATTTATTTGCTACATTTAAAAAGGGGATTAATAAACGTACCCCCCTTTTCTGCTATCCACACCCGGTTTTTCACACCTGGTTTTCTGCTTCTACACCCGGTTTTCCCCAGGCAATTCTGAATATGCTAAAAATCTTCTAAAATTGATCATTCTTTTTGGGTATATAAAAAATCCTCCAAAGAGAAATTTGAATTTTAATTTCAATTTTAATTTATCTGATTCATCAAGTTGTTTTTCTGCCTATGAGTTTTGGAGAATTCAAAGTAAATTTAAATTTATCATTGATATTGCCCAATCTTTGGGAAATCTATAAAGGACAAAATTTGATTTCATTTTGGAAATCCCAATGTTGTTGGTTTTGAGATAAAAGCAAATGGACAAAATAAGGAATATCTTGAATGGTACCATCTGTTTGGAGAAGAAAAATTAAAAACTTGACAATTAATAATAAGTTTTCAAGAGTTCATAGGGTCAAAAAAATTGGGAAAAAATGGGTGAGAAAAATAAAAGAAATTGAAGTTCTCTTTTGAGGATTTTTTATATACCCAAAAAGAATGATCAATTTTAGAAGATTTTTAGAATATTCAGAATTTTCAAAAAATGAATTACAAAGGCTGGGAAAAACCAGGTGTAGAAGCAGAAAACCAGGTGTGAATAACCAGGTGTGGATAGCAGGAAAGGGGGGTACCTTTATTAATCCCCTTTAAAAATGTGTGGAATTGAATGGTGAAGTCCAATTTCCCTAAAAATACAAGCTTCAATCTTAATACATGAGTTTACGCCGTTTCTTGCATAATTTGTCCCGTATACAAATTTTATGTGAATGCAAAATGAATACAGCCAACAATTTTAAAACCTTTCAAAGTGTAGGAAATGAACTTAAAATTCCATAAAATAAGGATAATTAAGTGTGTAAGAGTTAATTAAGGAAACACGTCAAAGGCATTATTCAAGATACAGATTTTATTTTGATGCAAAATTATTTTTACCATCATTTTTAAAATGTCTCAAAGTGTGGGAAATGAATTTAAAATGTCAAAAAATCATGAAAATTAAGCTCTTAAAAATCAATTGAATTTTAAGGCTGATTACAGTATTCAGAGTGAACCGTTGAGTTTTATGGAAATTGAATGTTACCAGTAAATTCTAAACACTTTGAAATGTAGGAAACAATTTTCAAATTTCAAAAAAGCAGAAAAAATAAGGTAAAAAAATTAATGCAAACAATTGAGTGAAAAAGTGAAGAATTAAATGAAAAAAACGGTGTCAAATGCAGTATACAAGATGTAGTTCTCACTTCGATGCAAAATAATTTTTGCCATAAATTTATACATGTCTGAAAGTGTAGGAAAAAAGTTTAAAATATGAAAAAAGAATGAAAATTGAGCTCTAAAAATTTAAGTGAAAAAATGGGTGTAATTGCATTATTAAAAATGATCCATTCATTTTTATGAAAATTGGATTTCACCATAAATTTCTACACACTTAATAATTTAGGAAACAACTTTAAAGTTACACAAAATCTTGAAAAATGAGGTAAAAAACTTGAAGCAAACAATTAACGGAAAAAATGAGTGGAAAAAAAAATTAAGAATCTCAAGTCATTTTTATGCAAAATGGACTTTACCATTAAATTCTACACGTTTTTTAGTGTAGGAAACAATTTTAAAAAATTAAAAAAAATTAAAATTAACAGCAAAAAAAAAGGGCCTTAATAAAAAAACGCGGTTTTTCCGCGTTTTGACGCGGTTTTGATGTGCCGCAGCACACGCGGTTTCCGCTTTTAAACGCGGTTTTTTAATTAATTTTTTATGGGTTATTTTTTGAGTTTTTTTGAATTTTTAAGGTTGTTTCCTACACTATAAAAGGCGTAGAATTTAATGGTAAAAACCATTTTTCATAAAAATGAATTTTGATTATTAATTATTTTTTTTCACTCATTTCTCAATTAATTGTTTGCATACATGTATGTACCTTATTTTTTATGCTTTTGTGAAATTTTAAAATTATTTCCTAGGTTTCAATGTGTGTAGAATTTAATGGTGCAATCCAATTTTTTTAAAACTCAACGGTTCATTTTTAATACTGAAATTAGACCCATTTTTTCACTTAATTTTTTACAGCTTAATTCTCATCATTTTTTGACATTTTAAATTTATTTCCCACACTTTAAGACATGTAGAAAATGATGGTAACAACAATTTTTCCCCAAAATGAAAACTATACCTTGAATGCCGCATTTGACACGTTTTTTTTAATTAATTCATCACTTTTGCACTTAACTGTTTGCATACATGTGTGTACCTTATTTTCTATGCTTTTTTGAAATTTTAAAGTTGTTTCCTACATTTAAAAGTGTGTAAAATTTAATGGTAACATTCAATTCCCATAAAACTCAACGGTTCATTCTGGATACTGTAATTAGTCATATTTTTCAATTGATTTTTAAGAGCTTAATTTTCATTATTTTTTGACATTTTAAATTTGTCTCCTACACTTTCAAACATGTATAAAATTATGGAAACAATGAATTTTCATCAAAATGAAAACTATATCTTGAATAATGCCTTTGACGTGTTTCCTGAATTAATTCTTACACACTCAATTATCCTTATTTTTTGGAATTTCAAGCTCATTTCCTACACTTTTAAAGGTTTCAGAATTGATGGCTGTATCCATTTTGCATTCAAATAAAATTTTTATATGGTACAAATTATGCAAGAAACAGGGTACGCTCATCTATTAAGATTGAAGCTTGTATTTTGAGTCAGGATGCAAGTGGGTCGGGTCGACCCGTCGGGTACCCGCGACCCGGCGGGTCATGGGGCGGGTTTGGACATGTACTGGGTGAAAAGCAACCCGGCCCGAGAATAACCCGACGGGTCAGTGGGGCGGGTTTGGACAGCCCAGCTTGTGCTCGGGTCGGCCCGCATTATGCCCACTGACCCGACCATATACTACCAGGAGTCCAGACCCCCGTAGGGGGCATGAGGATATCTGATATCCCAGTAGTCTCACAGTCTCACTCCGGTTCCTGAATCAGTGGATATCCATTTCCTCCAACTCCACCGGTCCGATCCTCCAATCTGACACCAACGGCCATCCTTCAAGATGCCTAGAGGAAGGAAGCGACCTCATCATCCAGCCGCCATTGCATCAAGTACAACCAAGGCAGCTACCACTACCAGCGGTCGATCCAGCAGAAATTCCGATTCGGAATCGGATTCCGAATCAGATGTCGAGATATCACAAGATCCGCCTTCTACTGCCCCAACTCCAACCCCTCGGAACCGCGCTCAATCTATCAAGAATTCACAACTGAAAGACCAAGATTCGGAGGCGAGCACTGAACCAACATCGAAGAAGAGGAAAACAACAAGCGAGGTTTGGCTTTATTTCAAGGAGCAGGGATCAGGTGAGTGAACTTACTTTTTTTTAAAATATGTTGCTTTATACTCTAGTCACTGATCCATCACTCATGTCTCATTCAAAGGTGATAATCTGACCGCAACCTGTTCCAGCTGCAAAACCGTCTTGAGCGGTAAGAGTAAAAGCGGTACCAATCACCTCTGGCGACATCTCGAGCGATGCAGTGATTTCAAAAATAAAAACAAGCAAAGCTTGCTCAAGACCACAGGTGCATCAACTGCGACGTGGGTCTATTCTCAGGATGAATCTCGCAAGCTATTGACGAAAATGATAATAGCCGAGGAGCAACCTTTCAAGCTGGTCGACAATCCGCTCTTTCGAAAATTTTTGGCATCGCTTCAGCCCAAATTCAAGATTTTCTCCCGCACAACCCTCCGTTCCGACGTGATGCAACTTTTCAATTCAATGAAGGGCGATCTTGCCCGCGAGATCAGCCAGGTAGATCGAATCGCATTAACGACCGACCTTTGGACCTCATCTAATCAAACCCCCTTTATGGTCATCTCAGCTCACTATATCTTGCCCAACTGGACCCTCCGAAAGCGTTTAATTGGATTCAAAGAACTTCCAACGCCTCACACGGGGATTGCGATTGGAAAGCAACTCATCACCACAATTGGTGAATGGAAAGTTATCGACAAGGTTGCCTTTATAACGGTCGACAACGCAAGCTCCAACGATGTCGCGGTCTCTCACTTAAAATCAATCCTTATCGATCGATCCCAAAACGCACTCGAATTGGATGGTAAATTTTTTCATGTTCGGTGCGCGGCTCACATAGTCAACCTGATTGTCAAGGATGGACTTAAGATCATTTCTGAAGGCATCACTAAAATCAGAGAGAGTGTGCGATACATCAAAAGTACGCCTTCACGCAAGCAGGCCT